ACTTGTTTTAATAAAAAAAAAACAAGATATCAATAAGCAAACATGATGTCAGGTTGAGAGGAGGTTTTTCGAGGAACCAAATGCAGTGCAGCTGAGGTGGTTTATTGCAGGTTTAATAATCCTAAGAGGCAACAGAAGCAAAAGCCAACAAACAAAATCTAATAAAACCAAAATCTAGGAGACATCGGGGAAAAAACACATAAGAGATAAAGAAATGATGATGAACCAGCAAACAGTGATGTATATATGGGAGATAGAAACAATTGGAGGACTAATTGGCAGACGAGGAACAGGTGAGGGAGGAAGAAGGGAGCTGGGAGACGGAGACTGACACGAGAGGCCAACAAGGGGTAAACAAGAAATACATAAGAACTCAAATATAACCAAAAACAACTAGAATAGAACAAAATGTAAATATAACCAATGAAAATTTTAAAAGACAACTTTAACAGAACCAAAACATGACACATGAAGGATTTTCAAAGGGCTTTGAGACATAAAGTTGTACATGTTATGGACAGCTAATTTGGAATACCTGTGGATGAGTTGAGTTTCTGAAAAGCTGTAAAACCTTTGTGGAAAGTTGGAAGAGATAGAAATAGAAAACAGCCTGATATAAACTTTAAGCCTCGGTTATCTTTTTTTTCACTGCTAGTTAGTTTGAATGGATCCCTTAACCTGAGCTTCAGAATTACCTACTTTGTGAACTTGATTTTGTACAGTTTCTAAGTCCTACAATGTAAGTCAGTTTTTATTTGTCTCACAATCTCTCCTCCTGTATCTCTTTGTGTTTTGGGGCTGACTAAGCACCAAAACCACTGAGAAGTAAAAGGAATACTTACATGATCATTTTAAGACAGGACATATTTTTTATTCATTCCATGTTTTCTTGTTAATTTTTTCAGAGGAAAAATTCTGCAAAATAAAATATATTTCAATATAAATCAATAACCATAAACAGATACTTAACTTAAAAAAAATGTAAACAATGGTACAGGTTTGCATGTATATAGCACTACCACTGCATAGCACTTCTATCCAGAAGAGCTATACAGCATGTAAATAATAAGTGTATAGCACATCTAAATAGAAGCAAATTACATTTATGATAATAAAGCTGAATTAATTTCTGTTCTATATAAATCAGCAGATGATGACATCTTATTAGTCATAAACAATGTTTTGGGAAAATCTCATAAGCTCGGTCAGTAAACATTTGATTTACATGTTTACATGTGTGTTTAGGGTCATCTTCTCTGTGTTAATCTTTATATAATGCAACAGACTCAAAAGTCCCTTACAAAGATAAGTATACCACTTTTTTTTTCATGTTTTATCAAAATCTAATGTATTCAATTGCACATTTTTTAAGTTGTAACCAAGGTAGTCAATATATATATATATATATATATTGCAGCTTTGACTGCATGTTTATGGTAATTTTCCTGCAGGAACTTGAGCTTTAACACTAGCCTCAAGTCTTTTTTAAGCATGTTTTCTTCCTACTTTAGTTTGTATTTACTGTCATCCATGTTTTTATTATCTCTGAGCAGCTTCCTCGTTTCCACAAGGGAAACATCCCAACAGCATGATCTTGCCAACACCATGTTTAGCTATGGGAAAGGATCAGGGATTGACTTTCACATATATTCTGCTAGAGACCCCTCACACCTCAATTCATAATCCAGCATGTTGCTGTACAATAGAAAAGCATAGACAAAGGAAACATCCACATGGTATCTTATAATTGAGACTCTGGAATGTGGTGATCAAACGTAAGAATATTTAATATGTAGTAGAGAGCCAAAGCCTTAAAGTGTTTACCTGTAACAACTTAAACTGTTTTAATAAATAATTGAAGAGAACTTCCAAATGTCTTTCAAAGTATTACTTTAGTCATTGTCCACGGTACAGAGTAAGCATTTAGCAAATCAAACCTCCTCTTTTCAGTCTCTTTCATATTTTAGATTTTCAAAGGAAATTGGTACAAACTGTCTAAAATCACTTAAAAGGAGAAGAAACTCTTGGAGAGTATATGACTAATCTGTTAAAGATAATTGCTGATTTTTTGACTTTATAGGAATGATCTGAATTTTATTTAAAAAAAAATCATTAAAAGAGATAATAATTTCTTTATTTTTCTACCTGCAACAAACTGATTTAAAAAACGCAAATTTACATAAGATTTATAAAAAGATACTTATTACCATGTGGAGAATGTTACTTTTAATAATGGACCTATGATTAAATTTTTTTTTAATCCAAATGAATCAAAATAAAGACATACATTTTACTTTTATCCCTACTGAGAGAAAAAAATTGACATTATAAACAATGTGGAGTGTGTTAGAAGTGCATTTAAAAAATGTCACACTTGCACATCATCAGATGTCAGCTGTGCAGCTACAAACTGAGTTGTCTCTCGGCGTGGGTGGTGGCTATCTGGCTGCTGGGGTGATGTGTTTATGTGCGCTGGGGTTAGGGCCACATGCACACTGCAGGCACACACACACTCACACATACACACACAGTCAGAAAAGCACAGAGACTCTATTGATTCTGGCTAATCAAGACAGCAGCGTTGGGATGGTGGCTGCACATCCCGTGTGTGTGAAGTCAACACATTCCCCACATTCCTGCATTTCCCAAAGAATCCACAGCAGGCCTTCGCTCTCTGCTGGGGTTTTCCTGCCTCTTAACTTAGCTCCCCTCTCTCTCTGTCCATTGGTCTCTAGTGACTTTATCTATCCTTTTGTTTTTACAACAGTTTCTGTCACACTGGGTTGTATAAAAAATACTCTAATGCATATTTTTGTAGTAAAAGTTATGTCAATATTAAGTTAATTTTTAACCAGAGTAAAATTCTGACCACCTCTGATTAACAAATAAATTATTTTTTAGATATTCTTTATAACTATGTGAATGAAACTGGTGATTTAAAAGTACTTCATTTTTTCAAGTCTGAGACATTCTTCATCAAGTTTCCAAGGCCAAATTTCTCAACAAACCCTTATATTGGGTCAGAATTAGTCTTTTAACATTTTGTAAACAATATTTCCAGTTTGATTTTCATCCCTCTGAGAACATCAGGGCCAGGTAGATTCATTATTTTCACACAGGACCACAAAAAATTATGTAAAACATTTGGTTAATTTTAAAATTGCTTTCACCTACACTGTAGTTTACTTTAAAAACACCCAAGCCCAAAAATAATAACGGCAAATGGTCAGTTGATGTCTTGTGTGTTGAGCACAGAGACATGACACCTATCAGATAAGGTACACTGGTTAAAGTGCTTAGAGTAATTTTAATATCTGGTATGACCTGTAGTACTAAATAATAGGATGTTAAAGATGACTTAACCAAGATCTTCTCTGATCATACCTCTTAATTAATTCATTAAAATCTGAATGAAAAAATAGCCTTTTTCAGACCTCAGAAATAACTCATACTATGTCAACAGCAACAAAAATATAACTGTAACTACCACGAAAAGGCAAAACAAATGCGTTCACTTATCACAATAAGATTTTTGTTGATCTTGATTTTATAGAAATTCCTGAAGTATAAAGAAAAAAAAGCAAATGTCTAATGTCCAATATTCTGTTAAAATATCTAAAAGTGCATTTTCTCAGACGCAAAGTACTATATATTTTCTATCCTACAGGATATTATATTATCATAAGGCACCTACAGGATATTATGGCACCAGCAACATATCCTGGTAAAATTAGAAAATACAGTATAACTAGGAAATCAATCAATGCCCTGTAATGAGTCAGAATTAGTTTTAATCAGCAGGTTGGTTGGTAGTAGAAAAATTAAATCCTCTGTCGTGTCAAAACTTCTACTTCGGGTTATCTTAAAACTAAGATAACCTGAAGTAGAACGGAAACTAACGGAAACTATTGATACACAGCAGGCTCTTTATTTGCTTTGGATTTTGAAGTATATGGCTAATTTAATGGCATTTGATGTTTGATGGCATGTGACAAAGCAGGGCATCTTATATGTGGATCCAAATTCTAATGTACAATTCAGAGGAAGGCAGGATGTCAGCTGGACGAATCACTGGCCCTTCTTCCTCCTACACCTTGTTCAACAATGCTCTTAAGTCCTGAAGCCAGACTGAAGGCAAAAAGATTTTCAGAAGAAGGGGGACTGTAACCATAGAAACTCTGTTTGCATTTCCCAGTGAGCAATTTGAGGACGTCTGGCTGTCAGCTGGAATTCAGACAGTCAATTCAGCACCGTGCACTGCTCTGTCTGGAGAAGCGACTGTCTTTGGGGAGCACCTCACTGAATGCATTCTAGGTGCATTTCCGTTTGAAACGAAAAGGCAGATGGAAAAGGCTGGGGCCTCTTGATCTTAATCCCACAAAGAACCCCTGTTGCCACAATGCTTCCTAAACTGTGTTTTATTTTTGTTCTTGGCAGGACTTTGTGTAAAGCTGCAGGTTTACATGCCAATCAAAATTAGGAGTGCGGTGTGAAAGTCATACTTTATGCTGTGTCCCCGGTCACAGGGCTTTATTCAGGTTGGTCTTCAGACCTACTCATAGCGGGCTCCTCTGCTCGAACAAAGAGGCCTTTCACATTGACCTTGACACATGGCCACACCGTCACCACAGGAACCAACGCAGAGGAATCCACCCTGACTCTCTGATATCAATCTCTCTTTACCTTTTGGATAAATTCTTCCACCTCTAGGCTGATGTAAGGCTAATGCACACATGGTGCTGGTTTTATTCCTGCAGCCTGGCCAGAATAAATTCCCTCATGAAAACATTAAGTTTGAGAATCCCTTTTTGTGTAAAATAATAAAGAATAACACTTTTATTTGACTATCCAGATAAAGATGTATTCGGTTTTTAAAACCAACATTTTAAAAAATACTCGCATGGATATTCAAAGAATTTATTTTTAAAACATTTCTCCTTTTTTGGTTCATCTTTTTTTTCTTTTACAACTGCAGAGCCTGAAAAGAAAATAATTCAGGCATGAAATTGCAAGTATTTTTTTAAACAAAATAAGAGTCTTTGAATTTACACATTTTTCCTAAAGAAATTAAAAGCATATCTGTACAAACTTTCTTTTTTTCCTTTACAAAGCACATCGTTTCAAAATGTACATTATTTCACATTTTATACATACAAAAAAAAACAATGGGGAATTTTGCTACATTTAAGAAAAAAAACACTCCAGCTCCTCAAATTTGAGAAGACAACTTGAACACAGTTTGATCACGTTCAGCTCCCATCATTTGCTGCTTTACAACATTTTTCATTTCCGTACTCCAAGAGTCACAGAACAGCCAAGAGAACACTGGAATAGAATATCAGTCTTTTTTTTTTTTTTCTTGGCTAGAAATTTCAGTATAGCCATCCTAAACAATTGACAAAATGTCTGTTTCCAAATGTGGGCAGCTAATGAGTCATTCAGTCAGTGTCCACATGGCATGGGTTCGTCCCTTGGAGTTCTGCCTCGCGATACAACCGCAGGAAGTCTTTGTAGCGAGGAGCACAGCCCATCCAGGCCTCCCCAAACCTCACTGTCCCGGTGAAAAGAAACTCTCCGTCTCCAGGCTTCACCCTACACTGCATCGGCATTTTAATGTTGCCTGTCCAGCTTCGTACCCTCACACCCCCTGACAAAAAGACACGGGTCTTCTGTCTGTAGAGTCGACTGATCTCCACAGACACCTGGGAGTGCTCCTCCTCCAGGCCCACGTCTTTAATGATGCCTCGTGCCACTGCAGGGAAATGACAAAAAAGGAGTGCATCAATAAATGACTTTATCAATAAATGCACCATAAACAAGCCTCTCGGTTTACCAATGATTACCCTTTTCAGTGTGGGTGCAGTTACTAAGGGTAGACAACTAGTATTTACACATTTTAGTAACAAGCATAGTTGGTTATTAAATCTATCGTTCATACATTTTCCAAGAAAGAGAGAAATACTGAACAAAAATTATTCTCTTTAAAGTTTCAATCTGCATGAGTGATGGAGTGCTGGATTTAAATGTTGGGAAATGGTAGAGATAATATCAAACATCTATATTCTATAGAAATACAATTACAGATATATTTAGAAATAATTAGCAAACACTAACGCTTTGCACACCAACCACTAAATTAAACTGAAAAGTTAAACATTTTTTCTTCGTGCCTAAATGGTAAAAATCTCAGCATGATATTGCCTCCAATTTTAGTGTTTCTAAAAGTTTCTGTTATAGCTATTCAAGAAAAAAAAGTGAATCTGCTTAATAAAAACTTTTGCTTAGAAATTAGACACAAACCTCTGATAGGTGGGGACCTACGGTGTCATAACTAAAACTTACCAAAGTCATTAGTGCAGACGGCTAGGAGCATCTCCGCATCAGTGCAGGGTCGACAGGGTGCTAGGAGAATAAAGAAACAGGGAAAATAAGTCTGCGTTCCCACAGAAAAAGAACAACTGAATCCTTTGACACTTCCTTCCACAGAAGGAAAACAGCCTCAGCTCAATCAATCTGATTTATCTTTTTTATCTTAAAGTTACTGAATAACATTCATTATGGCAAAAATCCATATAAAACCAATTTGCACAAAATTTGAATACTTCAAGTGCTTTGCATGCAAATTCTCAACACCAATAATATAATTTATCCCAGACTAGATCTATGTTTGATCTACACAAAAACAGTACTGGAGGTATCTAGGGCAAGAGTGAGTGAGTCATAATAGATACTGGAAATATTTAGTAATAGTAGCAGAGCTTTTCTAATGTTGTGCAGCGCTAAAGCTAATTGTAAATGTGTTAGCATTGGTTATCAAACACACTGAACTGGTATGGGGCCTGTTCGGTTAGCCCCACCACACAAGCTAACATAATGCAGAGTTTCACCAGGAGCAACTTTATCAGCCAAACTCTAGAAAGTGTTAATAGTGCAAAGAATAGGGCTGTAAGGGACAAGATTAGTCGTCTCATATAGACCTGTAGCCAGATAAAGCTAAATTCTCTCGTTAGACACAGGCTTTTTTTCTCTTAGTGGTAGGCTGGTGCTCAGAAACAGGTGGGGAGAAAGCTAGTGTCAGCAGAGGGAAGGGTTTATGGTCAGTGGTGGACTGTGGGTGCAGCAGAAGTGCCTGTCAGTCCAGAAAAGAAGGAGGATGGCTAACAGTATTAACTCAGGTGGATCATCTCTGCATTTCTAAAAATGAAATGATCAGACATTTTAATTGAGAGACAAAGTCTCAAAAAGCAGAAGTTTTCTCCAATCCTCTTCATTTTCACTGCTGAAAAATTTCAGTCAGAGTGAACGGCAAGCAGGTCAGCTGGAGCAGAACCACAAAGCGCTGCTACGTCACTGGAGAGGTCAAGAGTCAGACAGCGACGAGCCTTGATTGCTCGCTAACAGCTGGACCCACGGTGGACTTCAAGAGAGCGGACCTCGCCCAGAGCCACAGAGTGAAGCGCACACTTGCTTTGAAGTGAGTCCGAGCACTGCCGTGGCATCAGGCAGGACCGCGAGCCGGGGCCCGGCCTGGACCGGACCGGGGCGTGTTTGCTTTCCTACAGAGCCGAGCCGACTGGAGCTCACATATGAAACATGAAACACAACCGCAGGAATGGGCCAAGAGCCGAGTCAGCGTCTCCTTCTGCCCCGTTTGCTCTGATCAGAACCACTTCATAGGAGCAGAGAGCGGAGGAGGATGGGAGGGGTGCAGAAACACATTAGAGTCCCTGCAACATCTGGGACCAGATGCATTCCAGTGAAATGGAGCACATCTTGCTAATACCATTCAGAAGCGTCAAAAACCACTTGAAACAGCCAAGAGAAGACAGGAGATACATAAAGGGGGAAGGAATCAAAAGCTAAATAGTAAAATGATAAACAGACATGACAGAGATGAAGAAGTAGGAATTGATTAGAGGAAGGAAGAACAAAAAGAGTAGAGGGGTAAATAAGTCTATATGCTCCAAGAGGTCCCTCCCAACATCTGGTTGGAAATGCATTCCAGCATGCTGGTGAGCAACCAGATCCCAGTGCAGAGTGTCAGAGAGAGGAGGAAGAGAAAGGAAAGAAATACACCAAAGATGATCAGATGAAGCAGAGGAGCAATCAATCTGCCGCTCAGGCCCCACTTCAACACGAGACCACTGTCTTTGTGAATCACCTCAGTGCTATCCCATACCACTTTACTGCTTCAGAGGAGAGCCATGGGCTCATACCCACTGCAGAGGCTCCCCTCGGATTTCTTTTAACTCTCCAGCGTGCCAAGCAATGACGCAGGAATTGGAAACGTGAAGCCAGAGAGCCGTAAAAAACAAGAGGGTCTGATACTACTCATGTTTTGCTAGAGGTGGAAAAAACAACAGTTGCGCAGCTTGAAGCTGTGCAGGCCTGGCAGGTACGCAGCATGAAAATATACGTCTGTTTTTCATTGGAAGGCCTGTGTTTGGCCATGCCCCTCCACACACACACACACAGAGCCTATCCACAAAAAAGAAAACAATTACAGCTCGCAGCAGAGTGTTCCCGTGTCAGAGCAACGGTGCAGTTGTGAAACAAGCAGAGAGGCGACAAGTTATTAAAACTTTTTCAGGTTTTAATCTCAGCCTTTCCTTTTCCCTCCAAACTAAAAATGAAATGGAGTTTGGTTTGAGTGAACTACTGTGTAAATGTTTAGTGTCAAACCTGATAAAGCTTTTCACCAGCAGATGGCTGTATTTAGTCCTGAGTGTACACCACAGCCACAAAGGAAACAAGCAGGTATGGGTCAGTATGACACTCTCAAAGCATCATGACTTTCTGTAAAAACATCTAACTGTAGTTGTTTTTTTTGCAGACTTGCTCTTATTAAATACATTTTATATTCAGGTGTTGATGCATAAACACACAGGGAATAAACAGAGCAACTAAATATTGTAATAACTGCATAATTAGACAAACTATATGCTCAAGTAGTTAGTTTCTAGACGGCAACATGTTAGTTTGTCTGCTGAATTAATTTTTTAAACACTTATTAGGAGGAAAGGGGGCTCCTTTATTTCTAACACTATAATTGTAAGTTTTGGAGACCAGATTTATTTATATAGAGCTTAGTTTGTCCTTCTGTGAAAGCACTATAGTCTTATTTCAGCGTGGTAACTGACAGCAACATGTGGGGGAGGGGCAGAGTTACATGATTCTTCATTAACACAGAAATCTCAGCCCAATCCAGCTTCTTAGTTTCTAACTTTAAGGAAAGGCATGCTTTGGGATGTAGAATTTTTGAGCTTTTGAAACTTTACTAGAATACCTTATTACGTACGTTGTACCTCAAACCGCGTATAATGACTTGTATTACAGCTCATGACCTCAATAACCACAGGTTCACCACAACTGTTGTAATACAGAAGCAACACAATGGGAATAAACCTTACCAGCAGGTGACTGAGCCTCCTCTCTCAGCCTGTCGCTGACCAGCTCGTACTGAAATGCCGTAATCCGCCGGCTGATGTCCGTACGCGGAATAGCCTCAATGAAGAGCGCCCCCTCCTGGATGCTAAAGCAGTGCACCTTCCCCTCAGCCTGCTCCTCCTCTCGCAGAAGCAGCCGCAGCTTCCCATTGCGATCCAGGTAGATGTTTGTCCCGCTGGAGTCCTTGGAGGGTTTGATGCAGACAGAGAGGCGGGCAGCGGCGGGCGACATGGTGTTGGGCCGCAGGTTGACAATGATGGCTCCGGTGGGGTAGAGCCATTCCAGAGAGCCTTGCGAGCAGCGCAAGTACACCTGCTCCACATCCCTGGTGTGGCCTTCATGGGTTAACCCGCTAAAAGTGACAAGAAAGGGTGAGAGGAGAGCAGTTAATCATAATTTCTCTGACCGTTTGATTAAACCCTGTTGTGATACTTCATCTAAACTAATTATTCGACCAGGAACAACCCAGATCCAGACTGTAAGGACACTAAACCACATTCCTTCTGAAGCATTTAGGCCCTGCGCAAGACTGGCTGCATGACCAGTCACGAGCCACAGCAGCCGACATGACCTCAGCTCAAACACACTCCCCATAAGACATTATTCTGCCCCGAGTTCTGGCAAAACGCACCACTGGCAGGTTGCCTTTGGGAAGAGTTTGGAGGGAGAAGTGGATGAATGGAGGGGACAGAGGGGCTTCTGGGGGAGACAACAGCAGCAGCAACAGTAGCTGTGCCTGCTGCATGGAAGTGCAAATGCCGGTCACGCACCAAACCTCCCCTTGGTTTCAAACCACCAACAAAGAGAGTGGAAGAGACTTGTCCGGGCAGCACTACGGACTGTGGCGCCAGCACGACCAAATCACTCCCTCCACAACTTAATGCCTGGTCAGGGGTTTGAAAACTCCAGTGTGTCAGTCATTCCGTGGCAAAGCCAGAGGCAGGAAGCCATCAGCATACACATGCCAAGCCTGTGGTTTATTTCAGAAGGGGGGGAGAGAAACGCCCAGTATGCTGAAAAAGAGACAGTAAAATTCAAATTCACCATAGATCTAAAGTAACCAAAGGCACATGCTGAGCAGATGCAGCTGAAGCCCCATAACCAGGCTCACCTCAGCACGCCTCTAATTAAGTTCTATCTAAGTTCATCACTTCTGCATGCAATTAAAGGAGATTAGGCAAGCATATCACTAATGGATAACAGATTATTGGTTTAGATGCTTGAAGCATGACTTAGCCCTCCTGTTGGGTGGATTAAAAAAAAAAAAAAAAAAAAATCCACTCTTAAAAGTAGGTTTAAGTATAAATCTGTTTCTGCAGTTGCAAGGAGGGATGTTAGGGATGTGTGCTTCACCTGTTTGTGTCAGGTCATATCATGACACCTAAACATAGGAGTTTATAAACATGCATATGCATTTCAGTATTCATCTGGACAAGATTTAACAATGAAAATTTTAATGAAAAGCTCAGAAAACTTTTTAAAAGTATAAGCTATAATTTTTTTCACAATTTTTTTTGTCATTGCAAATAAAAAAAAAACATGTATTAACAAAATACCACCTTCTAGAATTTGTTTTATCTATTTATATTCTATGCTTGATGTGATTATCTATTGGTTAAATCTATCATTTTCATTTTGCCGCCAGCACCTCTCGTATTTTCACTGCAAACACATGAATTTACCATCTTTAGGTGGGATTTAATTTAGAGTAAAGTCAGAGAACCTCACCTGCCCCTCCAGCTGCACTGGTCGCTTGAATACTGACAGAAAGAAATCCGACAGAGAAGGAGAAGAGGCAGAAATGAGGCCAGCATCGGAGAGAGCATGTTTATCTCGCCTCACTTTGCCTCTTTGCGCGACTAAAACTATGGGAAAGTCCACCGCCGTCTGTCCAGACGCATAATGTTTCCATGTGCCCTGCTCCGCTTGTTCGGTTCTAAGGGGCTCCCTCTCTTTTCTTGTTTTCTGGACTTTCAGCACCATAAAAAGTCTCTTTTCGGACACATAGAGGCTCTCCCAGCGTCGCTCTCCCCGCTAACTGTGAACTGGTTTCGGCTCGCGCTCTGCCTCAGCAGCCCTGATTGCTCTCTCCACGTCACACCCCGTTCGCTCAATCAGCTGCATTTATGGAACCACCTCGGGCTCGGAAAAGACAGTTTCAAACAACAAAACCACTCTTTATCTTAGGAACTTTGATTTATTATTTATCATACGTAACCAGGGGTTAAGCAGAGTATATACAAATTTACATTTAAGTAAGATTATAATTGCTTTTAGCTATTTTTACTCTTAGACTTAGACAACTTTTATTGTCATATTGTTGACAATTTGTTTTGTAAAACTTGACATTTCCATTTCTTAAAGTACAGCAGTGATAAAATGTAAACAATGCGGGACAAGAGATATGGTGCAAAAAAAAACCCAAAACGCATTAAATATGTATTGGTGCATATATGCAGGATTTTCGTTTGGTATTATCAGTGTGATGTGGAGTCAGAGACATGATTTAGAGTTTTCTAAACAGTTCATCTGTCTGATGGCAGTGAGGAAGAAACTGTTGCAGAATCTGCTGGGCCTGCATCAAATGCTGCAAAGCGTTTTCCAGGTGTGAGGGGTCATTTATAATGTTATACAGGCTCAGGACAAGCAACGCTGGGATGAATGTCTTTTATGATCTTCTCTGCTGTTCTCACCACTCTTCTCATTTTCTCCCAGTCTGAGATGCTGCAGCCTCCACACCACACAGTGAGACAGCTGGTCAGAAAGCTCTTTATGGTGCTTCTGTAGTACTCGATTAGAAAACAACAGTTGACTGTAACAAAAATGATAAAAGGGTAAATGTGTAGTCATGGGCGGTTATAGACTGTAGAACTAGCTCTAGCCCCTGTTACAGTCTCTGCATTGAACATATAATATGAAAATAATCTGATGATAATATGGGCTGGAACAGACAAAGTGACTGATAACTCTCTTGGGCCATTTAATTTTTCTCTACAGTTCTGTTTTAATTAGGATTTCAAATATCAAGTGATGTTTTTAGTTCTCTTGAGATAGGATCAAAGTTTCTGTCTGCTAAATTTTGTTTTGAACCACATTGAAAAAAAATACTCTAGTTTGTTACAGCTGAATTTATCTGTTTTACTTAAGTTCTAATTCTGATTTGACTGAAATTGATCATTTTCATTCAAAATAAGTCAAAATGTGTATTCCTAACTTATAAATGTATATTGACCCAATATTCCAAAGATTAGCTCTACACCACCTTTTGGTAGATACATATTTAACAACAAATTATTTCAGTTTCTTTTTTTTTTACATGGTAAATTATCTTTTTTAATTTAAGGTTAATAAAATGTACATTTTAGAAATGTTCTATTGGAAAAACACACAATTTAATTATACTCAATGACATAGAAATGTTACTTCATTGGTAACAGCCACAAGTAACTGTGTTCTCTTAATATGTTTTATCTGATAAACTATTGCCCTGTTTTTTATGCTTTTCTGTGCCCCCATGAAAACATGCTGGCCCCACGTCGGACACCCTAGTAAATTTGGCCTAGAATCACCTCTGCATATTTTCCTGTATTTGGTAAAAATTACGTTTTTTTTGTTGCTTGTTTTAATTTGAGAATGATATTAAAATATGTTCAAATTCATTCAACACCTTATAACATACTTACAAGATACAAATCAATTTTCAAAACTAGAAGATGCCCATTCCTCTTTTTCTCAACAGTGCTTTTAAAGAAAATATGTAGATACAAAGAGTTTCCCAATACTATAAACTTGTGGGTGTGTGTATGTATTGATTTCTGTAAGAATTTGGTTAAAATGAGCTTGTTTATTGCCAATGAAGTAACCAAAGGAGGTTATAGGAGATTTTTCCCTCTATTGTTACTGGACAAAATGTAACAGAGCAAATAATTCCTAGGCCACTTGGATACTAAAATGTTTATGCTCTGCTTGCCAGGCCATTTAGGTGGACGGCCATGATAATGTTCCAGTTTTGCTATTCTCAGTTTATTTTCCAATGAAAAGTAGAACCGTAGTCAATCAAATATTTAATGTTTGGAATAACTTTGTAGAACCTAAACCTGCTTCAGACTTGTCCATAACTTTATCTCTGGTCATTCCCTTGTTTTTCTTCATCTTAACAAGCCTGTGCAGTTTAAAAAATCACTGATATTAAATCAAACATGGGGAAAATCTATTTACTTATTAGGTAATGAAGGCAACTGGTCCCTCTGGACTTAATTATCAATTTTGTTTCATGAGTTCAAAGGCTTGTGTAAAATTCTCAGCATACTTTTTATACCCTTATTAACTGTGAATTATTTTCCTCCTCACATTAAAATTGTGTTGTTGTTTTTGTTTTGTTTTGTTTTATTGATAGTGTAAAAACAGTTTAAGGGTTATAGATACCTATATATTTACAAAAAAACCTGCAGCTTATTCATGAATAAAATCCAAATAATCAACAAAAAAACATTTTTTCCCCCAAAACATGTATCGAACTGCAAAGTGTTTATTTTTATTAGGAAAACCTATTATATTCAAACAAATCATGATAAGCAAACAACATTTGTGACCCTGCCTATGAAAACCCAGCTTAAGTCATTTTTTGGTGAATCTCAACTTAATGTATAAAACCATTCTACACATTGTTAAGAATGGTTTTATACATTAAGTTGAGATTCACCAAAAAATGACTTTAGCTGGGTTTTCATAGGCAGGGTCACATTTATTATGTTGTCTGAACAGGAAATGAATAGGCACAAATTTAAAACTTCTATACTGGTAACAGGTGTTTTATTTTCAAATGTTTTTCAAAATACATTTTCTGACTTTTGCATTTAATTTCCCCTTCACCGTTTTGAAGAACCCTTGCATATCTTCTACTGCAGCTGGAATAAAAAGCCCATGCATATAAACTTCCTGATAAATCTAGATTCTAAATGCAAGTTCTATTGTTTTAGGGAGCCGGTCTAAGTAACTCCTTTGTATTTTTATCCTGTGCGGGCAGTGCTTTTATTTTATTTTATTTTATTTTATTACTTTTATTTATTTTAGTTATTTTATCTTTTTGTGCAGCACTTTGGAAACCTCGTGTTTATTTAAACCGTGCTATATAAATAAAGTGGATTGGATTGGATTGGAACTCCTTTGTAGGTTACAGTTTCGAAACTACAATTTCAAATTGTGAAACCTCATTATGGAGAAGGCTTACCCATAGTTGTTTGTCATGACCCTGCCAGTAATAGGAGTCCTTTTTTCTGTGGTAAAGGCTCATGACACATCACTCACTTAACCAGACATAAACTGGTTTTGTGCTTTAAAAAATGATGAACTCATCTACTTGGCTGCAAAGGCTGGCGTCACCAAAAACACAAACAGCTTATCACACCATATGTGATATTCCTTATCTGTAATAATTTGAATAATTTGACATTTGAAGTGTGATATGGGTTACATCCATTGATAAATTCATACACCACCCTTTATTCACTTTCTAAATACCCTTAATACGTGCTTTGTTCAGTATTCCCTCACGTCTTCAAGGTTGAATAGTGATTTATTTTGGGACTTACAGATGACAGGAGATAATAGAAACTACCGTATGTCTCCATAAAGTCTTCCTATCTAATTTTCAGCAAAAGCTCATCTATTAAACAAGTTGAATATTCATGAAGTGTTGAATTTGTTGAGGAAATACAGTTCTGTGATACAATGCTGTTTAAAGCGAAGTGGAATTTCCTTGACGGACATTTGAACTTGTTTTCTAAGTTATTTTTAAAGCAATACATTTTCTGTAAAATGTCATGTCTTTCCGGATCATGATTGAGGAAACGAGGAAATATCTAAAGGAAATATTTAATTAAAGTTCCAACATTTTAGTTAATATTGACCTAATGAGCTTAAAGCTCAGTCTTCTCTGTCCTTCAGAATGTGAAATGCGAGCAGTTTAAGTTTAATTCAGTTCATAATTTTTTATTCCTAGAATGCAATAAGACAAAAAAAAAATTCAAGTTATACAATTGATATATAGATGTGATGGAATTGTAGAAATATAGGTGTAAATAATATCATCAGTACATTAATATCAACAAGCAATTGAATAACCAAGTACTAAAATAAAAAAAGAAAACTTATATAGCATTCTAAGATTCCTAAAATCTAAAATGTAGATAGTAAAATGTTCTCTAGTATATATTTAAATACCAACAAAGAAACAAATGTTTTTTAAGATGTAAAAACTGGTTCCAGAGAAGAAGTTGATATTTGACAGAAAACTGGCACCGTCATGTTTTAAAAAGTAGTAGATGGAGATCAAAATATTAATCTCAAATTCAGTTTCAGCTTCAGTTTAGAGAATAAAGAAGCACTAGATGCTTATGTTCTATGATGATTTGTTATTCAAAAAATCACCTCTGCTGCAGCAGGATTTTCCGAAGATATGATGGAAATGTATAAGCCCACACATTAATCAAGTGATTTTCATTTAAGCTATTCCGATGATTGTGGAAATACTACAGTGTAGGTGATTCCAGAAAACCAAAACAATCTCCATGGGTGAAAAATATAAAAAGAGATACAGTGTATGGCATTTTGGGAGTAGTTAATTAAAGGTTTTTACAAATCAGAAATGACATTTTTTTAAGGTTACTGTTGTTAAATTACATCATATTTATGACAGCATGTTCAAAAAGTCGTGGATCTTTTTTAGGAACTGAAACTTTTCAAAAGCAAAAAACTGATACTCCTCCCCCAGGACAAAATGAAAAAAATTGATATGAAGGCAGAAACCTAAACACCTAAATCTTTGGATTACTTTGCAAGCCAGGTTTCAGTTAGAACAATAACAGAAAGCTAATAATTTAAGGTTGATGCAAATATTATCAATTGCTCATAGTTTTTAGGAAGACTACGAATCTTTAAAAGCAACATTTGACCAAATCGGTGAAGGAGGTAAATTTTTCTTTTTAATATCTGCAAGAGGATGTTACTTGCAGACACATTCTTTTCTTAGGCCCCTTTTCTCACTCTTAAAAG